TATTAGTTGACAACCCGGCGTTCCCCGAGTATTTATTTATAGGGGGGAAATGTCCGGACCAAACGTCATTTCTAATGTTGAATTTTCCTCATTATCAGAAGGAGTCCCCTTGGGGAGTACTGTGAAGCTGTTACCATGGCAACTCCACTGCACTGTACAGTAAAAGCCATTTTATGGCAGTACAGTAGAAGCCATTTTAAGGCACCACAGGCTGCATCTTAACAGAACACACATCCCAAAGGAGTTTTAGGGGTATCTTACCCCCACAATATTTTTTTCCAGAGATTAAGTCATCTGTGTACCAAGTTTGGTTGAAGAAAAGGGTGATTTCTTCATCTGCTGATTGGAAAAAGAGGTTGAATATGGGATAGAAGGAATTTCTGTAATATAATCTTAAAGAGGGAGAAGGGATAGTTTGCTGCAAAGAAGATCAGAAGTCACTTTAACCACCACTACCCCATTTCTACATGTATTCCTTTTTGCCTATCATTTTTCTAACTTTTCTTTATATATTTTCCCATTTACCTTTTATCTGTGTAAAAACAAGGGACACTTTATTGGGGAGATGGGCCTAGAGATGAGCCTATAGATTCAATCAATAAAAGCAAGCAAGCGTCTTCAATAAAATGTTTAAAAAAGAGACTTTACATTATCCTATGTATATTTCCCTTCTTTTGGTACCCATACCTGGCCATGACTTTGCATTAAAGAGAGACAAAGACATTCCTTGTTTGATTTTCATCGCAGTCCACGATAAACAGATTTCCTGCATGGAGTTAGGAAACAGTCAATTATTAGAAGTCTGCAGGTGAAGGAAAATAGAACGGAATGTGATTGGAGAGAGAGCAGAACTGGCTAGCTGCCTGGCATAGGGGAAAGTTTTCGCCATGCTGACGGAACTATGCTGGGATTCGTATTTGAGCAACTTTACTGTAATCCATGCCATCTGTCTGTTTTGTTTACCTTGGATATTCCCACTTAATCCTCAGCGCTCAGCACTTGCGAACAGCACCCTGTCCCTAATCTCTTGATTTTTCAGGTAGAAGGACATTCTTTTGTATTTAACAGGATAACAGGAAGGGACCTTGAAGGTCTTCTAGTCCAACCCGCTCTTCGGGCAGGAAATCCTATGCCAAATGGTTATCCAATCTCTTCTTAAAAACCTCCAGTGTTGGAGCACCCACAACCTCTGGAGGCAAGTCATCCTACTGATTAATTGTTCCAACTGTCATTTGAAAGAACCAACTTGTTCTTCTACAATTGTAACAGAGCAGAAGCCTAAAATATATATTTGATATTTTGCCTACCTTTTTGAATGTCATGGTAAATGGTCATCACAAATATTGGCTCTATACTATTGTGCATAGGGCAGTAGACCTTAAGTGGACTTAATTTTGTTGTGACTATAACTTATCTGTGAAAACTAGAGGCTTTTTCATATTTTTTTAGGTGGAAAACAAAATGGAATTCTGCCTAGGAAATTGTATCCCATAATAGTTTTACAACTGCAGCTATAAATTTGTCTAGGTTAGTTGCATTTTATGCAGATCTAATAAGATTGCAAAACAGATTAAAAAAAAACATTTTTATTTTCTTATGCATTTGAAGGCCAAATACACTTAAGATGCCAACAATGATAAGAGAAGTACACATGATTGATTACCCCGCTACTATGAGAAGGCAGGCTATTAATAAAACTCAGTGCTTATATTTAGTGTATTGCATTTGCAAACAGAAAACATCATATTGAGACAGATATTCTTTTTGTCCCCAAAACTCTGTTCAATTCCCCGTGAAGAAATGGAAATAATGATATGCTATAAGATGGGAATTATTTTCCCTGGAGCCAGGAAAAATGAAAGTAATGAAATATTTATGTCATTGGGAAAACTGTGGAATTTCCTTTAAAGCTACACAAGAGTCTTTAAAACGTTTAAGGTCAGAAAACCATCCAGTTTGAAGTTGGATGCAAATATGAATGTCCATATAAATTTAACATTTTCAAATCCAGCTTTACCACCCTATCATTAATTCCTTTTCTCTTCGTGAAGTCACCAGCTTTTGCTGAGTAAGGCTAAAAGTGAACAATTCAAAGTCACTATGCTATGATACATGCACAGTTATAAGGCTTAACTCACAACCTGGGTGAGTCAGCTATTACTGTACTCTGCATGTGCTCTGAAGCGCTCTCATCTCAGTCTAATTTGAAACTGAACTATAGGAATAGGAATACCCCAATCAAATTGGAAACCACACTGTCAGCTTTCACTAACGGGGTTAATGTATTTCATGTAGCTTTTGGATCCTACCTCTGAAGTTTCAAACGACATGATTCCCCAAGTCTCTAAAAATCATTTAAATTGACAATTGCACAGTGAATGAAAGAAATAACCAAAGCAGTCTCTAACAACTTTCTTAAGATTTATGATTATGAACTATCAGTTTGTTGTTGGTATGTACACTGAGAGTTTATGCACTGGAGACAAATTCCTTGTGTGTCCAATCAGACTTGGCCAATAAAGAATTATATTTCTATTCTATTATTCTATAGTATTCTATTGTAGTCTAGTCTAGTCAAATCTAATTTTACTCTATGTTATTCTATATTATTCTATTCTGTCCTGCCCTAGCCTGTTCCTACTCTACTCCTACTCCTACTCTACTCTATTCCTACTCTATTCCTATCCTATCCCTATCCCTATCCCTACTCTACTTCTATTCTATTCTATTCTATTCTATCCTATCCTATCCTATCCCTATCCCTATCCCTATCCCTATCCCTATCCCTATCCCTATCCCTATCCCTATCCCTATCCCTACTCTACTTCTATTCTATTCTATTCTATTCTATTCTATTCTATTCTATTCTATTCTATTCTATTCTATTCTATTCTATCCCTACTCTATTCTATCCCTACTCTACTCTATTCTATGCTATTCTTATTCTTATTCTATTTGTACTCTACTCTACTCTACTCTACTCTACTCTACTCTACTCTACTCTACTCTACTCTACTCTAGTTCAGTCCTGCACTTTGCTACCATCTCTTGACTATTTTCAAACCCATTTTAAAGTCCATAAATCAATTTTCATCTGGCGCTCGGCGCGGTTGATGTTTTCTGCCTGCCAAGAATTCGGTGTAACTCTAAAAATCTGCCCATTTTCTTAGCCAAGCCAAAAGGAAACCTCATAGTTGCTGAACCGCCGCCGCCGCTGCCTTTAACAAGAAGTATTATATATATTTTTGGCTTGGGCTAATCGCGTCCGTTGATTCATATTTTTAAAACACGAGGACGGAAAACACCAGCGTTTGGCTTTTCTGCCGGGGTGCTGAAATAACCGTGACTAAACGCGGTCCCGTAGGGCACCTTTTTCCAGGCAGAGAAGAGAGGAGGGGAAGACCGTGGGGGGGGGGGGGGGCGCCAGAATTCTAATTCAGAACCTGGTTGGGTTAGGGGCTATTGTGACGTCACAAGGAGGGGCGGGGCCGGGGGTAGCAACCTCTTTATAAAGTCAGGGCGAGAGGGACAAGGAAGATAAACCGAGGCAGTTCAGCTCCGGGGTGGGAAAAAAAAGATCAAAACGCAAAAATCCGCCGAATCCTTTGGAGTTTCGACATCTTGCTTTCATCCTAAGAGACGCTCGCTAGGTAAGTTGGCTTTCGCAGATGCGCTGGGTGTTTTGTTGTTTTTGTTTTGTTTGTTAAAGGGTAAGCGGGGATTTCCCCCCGGGATTTTCCACGGGTGAAGTTGGAGAAAAGAAAGGGACGGGTCTCGCATGGGTCTTCCGCGCCTCGAAGTTTTGGGGATGGTCGATCAGAAAGGTCGGCAGTTCAGCGGTTCGAATCCCTAGCCCAGGTCTCCTGAGCCGAGAGCTAGACTAGATGACCTCCAAGATCCCTTCCAACTCTGTTACTGTTTACTGTTTCCACGGCTGCCTTAAGCTTGTGCGCTCGAGGTGGGGTGGGGGGGAGCTGCGATTTCTCCGCTTCCCTTCGGGTCTCTTTTTATTTCTTTCTTTTGGAGGCGGACCCGCCCACCGATCCGGTTTAACGGACACCCCCCCCCGGGTTACGGACCAATTCCCCCCATTTCCTAAGCTTCTGATCTCATTCACCATCACCCCCTAACCCCTTTTCCACGCATGGGGCGATCCGAAGCGTGGTTAGGAATCGGCAATAGGAAAAGGGACCAAGGGTAGGGGGTTACGGGCGGCAGCTCCGGATTGAATTCGGAGTAAAGAGAGAGGCTGTAAAAGCACTGCGAAGCGCACATATAGCCGCATATAGAGGCGTGCATAAGCGCACCAGCGTGCCTACCGTCCCTGTCCTACTGCCCCCATTTATTTGTACCCATTTCCTGTGTTCTTATTCGAGTTTATTCTTATACATGTTTATTCTTATTCCTGTTATTTTGTACATGAGTGACAAAGTAGATAAATAAATGAAATAACTATAAGTCTAAGCGCTATTGCTAAAGAGACTGGGAGGGAAAGGGGGGGCTGTGAGTCCCTTTCTCCCCCTTGGCATTTGCCAAGCCTAAAAGGGGGGGGCGGAGTTTGCTCCGGATTAACCCCGGTGTCGTGGGAACGCGCTGAGCTCTTTCTCCTTTCCGTGTCTCTCTCCAGCCAGGAGCCCCCCATGACCCTGAACCGCGACGACAAACTGCGATACCTGGACAAGCGGCGCGGCAGCATGCCCTTCGCGGCCCATCATCCGCAGCAACCCCTCCATCGGCGCAGCATGCCGGTGGACGAGCGGGACCTCCAGTCTTCGTTGCCGCCCTCGCCCCGGGGCCAGCTCTCCGGCCTGATGCGCTGCACCTCCTACAACCCGGGCGAGGAAGAGGAGGAGGAGACGCAGCGGCCGGGCTGGAATTCCGACTCCTCCGATTCGGTCATCTCGTCCGGCAGCGACTCGGAAGGCGGCCTCTACAAGGTGATGCTGCTGGGCGAGCACGGCGTGGGCAAGACCAGCCTGGCCAGGATCTTCGGGGGCGTCGAGGACGGTCCGGATGCCGAGGAGGCAGGTGAGGTAACAGTAACAGAGTTGGAGGTCATCTAGTCCAACCTCCTGCTCACGCAGGAGACCTGTACTAGGGATTCGAACCGCCGAACTGCCGACCTTTCCCATTGACAAGCTCAGTGTCTTAGCCACTGAGCCACCCAGTCAGGCTAGTCTGGGGGCTGAGGATGGGGCTGGGGGTGAGTGGAGACAGAGGCTTTGTGCCCACCCCCCAACCAGGAGTAATTCTGCCTTTTCTGATGGGGGGTAAGGATGGGGCGGGATAGTCAATCCCAAGCANGCATTGCGGGCTAAACCGCCAATATAGTCTACCCACCACAAGGTTAGATTCCCCCAGATTGCTAAACCTCAGACTGTAACTTTGTGCCAAGTGTTGTCTTGCCCTGCATTCGGAAAATAGTTATTCGGCAGCTCTCCAAACGAGATAAGGTTCGTGTTGATAAACATTCCTCTGAAAGACTGTTTGCTAAGCCTTGCGGACTGTGAATGAAAGGAATTCACAGTCATGTAAATAAAAGGGGTTTTGCCGGGACCAAGACTCCGTTTCTTGCTTTTAAGGGAACCTGGGTCAGAACACTCTGCCAGTGGCTCATCTAATGGGAGATAATGGTGGTGGTGGGTGTGTGGGTGTGATTTATTTAGAGGTTTCCAAGGACACGGAAATCATTGCTATTCCGGATTCACAAGGGGTCAGGAGCCAGCATCGGTTCCCTCTGAGGGATTCCTTCTTCGAAGGCCTCCTCTGGACAAGCAAGCATACCAGGCATGACTCAACAGCTGCTGTGAATGCACCTGCTGATCAATCTGTCAGGAGATGGTGACGTTTCAGGTTAATTGACTGTGGAACTGGAGACCTCTCCATGTAATTTTTATTCCCATCAGATGTGGTTTCGTCGGAAGCCTAAGAGGACTTTCCTACTTTGTCACATTGATTTTTACAGGCACGTCAAAAGACGAGAGATTGATTTTTGTATATGGAGTTCCGGCAAGGTTATTGGATGCCCAACAATGAAGGAACATTGAAATACCCACCCTTTGGATTGCAAAGATGAGCAGAAAGGACAAAACTGACCTCTCTGGTCAGGAATAAATCAACGAGTAACTTTTATTAGTTGACAACCCGGCGTTCCCCGAGTATTTATTTATAGGGGGGAAATGTCCGGACCAAACGTCATTTCTAATGTTGAATTTTCCTCATTATCAGAAGGAGTCCCCTTGGGGAGTACTGTGAAGCTGTTACCATGGCAACTCCACTGCACTGTACAGTAAAAGCCATTTTATGGCAGTACAGTAGAAGCCATTTTAAGGCACAACAGGCTGTATCTTAACAGAACATACACCACCGAGGAGTTTTAGGGGTGTCTTAGCCCCCACAGT